CGGCCCGCGCCCGGCCTCCCAGGACGCCCTTGTCAATGGGTCGCTTGTGGCCCTTCTCCCCCTGGCGCCGGGCCACCCCCCTCGCCCCCGCCTCAGGCGGGCGCTCTCCCCTGCTGCGAGACCGCTGGGGCGTCGGGTGCGTCTCGCCGCCGTGTCTGCTCCCGACGGCACCCGCCCAGCGGCCTTGTCCCGCACAAGGCGCCGCTCGGGCCTTTCCTTTGCCGCATGGCTGTCGCGGGCCATTCCTCTCGGGTCCCCGCCTGCCCTCTGCTGCCCTCCCGCCCTGGCCTTCCAGCCCCTGAGCGCGCGGCCGCAGGAAACCCCCTCGGCCCAGGGCGCTGGTCTCCTGGTCTCCCCCTCCGTGGGGGTCTCTCCCCGGCAGTTCTCCGTTGGCTTCCCCTCGCTCACCAACCTCGCGACCGTTAGTCGCTCTGCGTCCGCCCCTGGCGAGACTCCCCCCTGCGGGCGCCGGTCCCCTGGGCTCTTTTCCCATCTTGCGACCGTTAGTCGCCCTTCGTCCGCCCTTCGCGCGACTCCCCCCTGCGGGCGCCGGCCCTCTCTCCCGCTTCCGGCGCCTGCGCGGCCTCCTCGGCCTCTTCTCAGCCTCCGCCTGCCTCGCCCCCCGCCCGCCGTCCCCGCGGCCCCTCCGTGCCCGTTCTGGCCTCGTGCCCAATACCGCCCGGCGCGCGCCCAGCTCGGGCTGTCGGCGCGCGCCCGGCCTCCCAGTGCGCCCTTGTCACTGGGTCTCTTGTGGCCCTTCGCTACTCCGTGCTGGGCCACCCCCTTGCGCCTCGCCCTGCGTGGGGCGCTCGGGGTTCCCTCGGCGCTCCGCCTCGTTCTGGCTCGGGGGCTCCGGGGCGTCTGGGCCGTCTCATTGCCACGGCTTGCCCCCCACGGCGCCCTGCCCCGCGGCCCTTGCTCTGCTCAAGTGCCGCCTGGCCTCCCCCACGACGGCGGGCGCGGCCCGTCACCATCTGTCGTCCGCCTGTCCCCGGCCGCCTCTCTGTCTGCCTGCCGGCCCTCCTGCCTGTCGCCAACGGCCTCCCTTCCCACACGGGGTCGACGGACTCCCAGGTCTCCCCCACCGCGCAGGCTCATCCCTGTCGGTCCTCATGCTGGGCCCCGTAGCCTCCCTGGTGGCGCGTGCCGCTCGCACCCACCCTGGCGGCACCCTCTTCGACACCTGTCTCGACGGTGTCTGGCGATCCGGACTTGCTCCGTTGAGCGCCCGCATGGCGTTGGTCGACATCCACCGAGGCGCGCGACACGGCTGTCAATTGCATCCGCGGTACCTGACCTGGCCCTGGGCTCGCTGTGTGTGTGTGTGTGTGTCCTGCTGGTGGTCCTCCTCGACGTGTACGTGGTGTCGGTCCACTCGAAATCTGCCGTTTTGGTGTTGCATTTCGCCTGGAAGATCTTCCTGGCGTGCGCCCTCCCCTGAGCGGCAGCGAGGCTCGCCTTCTGTTTGTTCCTCTCTCCGTTGTCTCTTTTCTCTTTTCGCTCGTCTTTCTCCCTGCGCACGCAATTCATGCCGTTGCCCGTGTGCTACGCTCCTGGACGCCGCCCGACTTCTTCCGACGCGGTCGCGATCAAAAAAGAATCCCCGCCAGCCCATTCAGAAGCCCCTGCCCACGAGAGCTGGCGGGAAATGGGAAGCAGAGGCGCAGATAGTGAAACAGAGCGGTCAAGGAGAGGAGTGGGAGGAACGTGTTGAGCACTGTTGGAAGCTATCTTGGAGCATCGGAGGCCTTCTTGGAGCTATAGAGTTTGTTTGGGGGCGTCTTGGGGTCCTCTTAGAGCTCTGTTTGGTGCATATTGGGGCCCTCTTGGGGCTTTTTGGGGCGTTCGGGGGTCCTCTTGGGGCTCTCTTGGGGCGTCTGGGGCCCTCTTGGGGCTCTCCCGGGGCTCTCCTGGGGCTCTCCTGGGGCTCTCCTGGGAGCTTCGGAGGGCCTCCTGGGGCTATCTTGGGGGCCATCGATCAATGGAGGGGGGGTCCTAAATTCTCCCCTCCCTCCCGGGGCCATCGAGATAGCCTCTTGAGGCGCTCTTAGGACCCTCAGGGGGCGATCTTGGGCGCTTTTGGGGCCGTCTTGGGGGCCTTTTTTTTTCTGCCCTTCTTGGAGCTTTCTTGGGCCATCTCTAGGCTTCAAAAGCGCATCGGAAGCGAAACGGCGAGCAGGCCAAACTCCTCGGTTCTCTTCAAGTTTTTGAAGGGTGTTCGGTTTTCGGGAACGTCCTGAGGGGTCTCCAAAAACATGTGGGTCCAGACTGTGGCCTGCTAGGGGCCTCTTGGAGGCATGTTGTTAGCTATCTTGAGCCATGTTGGGCTATTTTGAGCGATATTGGAGGCCAGTTGGGGCTTTCTGCGGCCGTTTTGGAGCAATCTTGGGCCAACAAGGACCCATTGACACCTCGCGAAACGCCCCGTCCAGGTCCAGGGGAGGGGGTAGGGGGAGGGGTTAAGCTACCCATCCGCCCGCAAGCCTTCTAGCTCACTCCCAACCGCCCTCCCAACACATAAATAACACCCGAAACCGAGAATGTTCAGCGGTCGTCTTCGGATGAGCAGCTACTGGGAACCAAAGCCGACCCCAGTTGCGCGACGCGTGGGCGAGGGGCGCCACGCGCGCCCGGGGCGCCACGCGCGCCAGGCACCCCTCCGGCCCGAACGTGCCAGGCACGCCTGTTGCGCCAGATGCGCCACGTGCTCCGAGTGCGCCCGGTGCGCCGCACACCCCAGCCGCGCCAGGTGCGCCACATTCGGGGCACGTGCAGAGTGCGTCAGGTGCGCCTGCGCACGTGACAGCGCACATCGGGAGACACATCGGCCCCCGCCATCCTTGTCGAAAACCAATGCCCATCATTGTGTCTGGTGGGCCTGCGCACAGCAGGACACGCGACACCACCCCCGCCGTCCCTGGCAAAAACCATTTGATTGTGATCGCGGGATGGCCGCGCATGACTTTGATTTAGCAGTGAGGTGCATGTTGTATTGTTTGTTGTCAGGGATGGTAGTCCTTCGCACAGCAGGGAATCTGCTGACACCCCCGCCGTCCCTGTCAAAAAGAATGCTAACGTGCTCGAGGGCCTCACGAACATGATTCAAGACTTTGCCCCGAAGTGTACTTTGCATTGTTTGTTGGCATTGACGGTGTGGTGTGGGGGGCCGCATCGGGTTTGCCACGCGTGCTCCAAATGTGGAGGCAGAGTGCCGGTTGTATAGTGATTTGGCAGGGATGGTGGGGGACGGGCCCGCATGAAGTCGGCATGGTTCCGGGTTGGCCGCCTGCCGGGTGGTGGACTGGGTGTACATTAGTAAGGAACCTTGATAAACCCCTCACCGAAGGGGAAGTGAGGGTTGCGGAAGTTGAAAAATGGCATCGTTAGCCGTTAGACCGCCCTCTCGCCCAGAGGGCCGGCGGGATTCGTCGTTGGGCATCGTGCAATGTGTTGTCCGTCCCCACGTCGGGCGTCCAAGCAGTCGCATGCAGGAGAAGTTCGGAGAACCAGGGCGCGAAGAGAGGGGGCGTCGGGCAGCCGCCACGACGGGCGGCCTGGGCTTCTCGGGGCCCGCTCCTCACGATCTGCCGCCGCTCGCTGGCTGGGGAGCCGGGGGCCCCGTGTCCTTGTTGTCCTTCGCCTCCACTTCCTCCTCCTCCTCCTCCTCCTCCTCCTCCTCCTCCTCCTGCTCGTCCTCCTCCTCCCCCTCCTCCTCCTCCCCCTCCCCCTCCTCCTCCTCCTCTTCCTCCTCCTCCTCCTTCTCCTCCGCCTCCTCCTCCTCCTCCTCCTCCTTCCCCTCCTCCCCTTCTTTTCCTCCTCTCGCGCGGAGGAATGGGTATTCTACTAGATTGTGGGGTGTCGGCAACCTTCCAGTGGCCACCGGAAACATGGAGATTGGTCCATCACTGTGGGGGGTAATGCAGCACTATCGCGGTCACCGGCGCGGGCGCAACACAACGACCCCTTTCCGACCTTACTTGCTCGCGGCTCGACGCCGACGGAACCGCGACCCTGCCAGCTCGATGGCGCAGCCGTCCCGCACGCTCCGGGGCGGCCCGCGACACGCTTCCAAAGGGCCCGCGATGTCTTCCATTCGAAGGCGCGACCGCCTCGATCGTCCCGGGGTCGCACGCAGCGCGGCTTCGGGAGTGGAGGTGCGGCTGGGAATTTTGGGATCTCGTGTCGCGTTGCCGGTTCTGGCCCACCGCGTTCCAGTGCGGCACGACATCCTTTTCCAGGTCTCCAAGCCTCAACGTCACGAGCTTGTCCGAGCCTCCCGCCCCGAGGAGCGGAGCGACGCGCAATCAGCTTGCAAGGCACAGCGTGTCGCCAGGGTCGCCGGGGCGACACGCCAAGCAAAAGTTCTCGACCGTGAGAATGTCAACGTCGAGTCAGCGTGCTGCTCCTTTGTGTCTCTCCGAACGCCTGGCGCTCCCTCAGCAGCAGCACGCGGATAGGCCCCACGGCGGCTCGTCACCGATACTGGTTCTGCTCTCTCAACTCCGTGGCCACCGTGGCTCAGGGTTGCCGGAGAGACAGAGAGACCCGGACCTCTGACGCCTCGAGCCCAGAACAAAATGGCCGGCGCTATTCCTCGATCTGGCCATCTGTCGACGACACGCACGAGTGACCTTTCGCCAGAGTGACCTTTGGTGCGGGCCCAAGCGATGCGGCAGGAGCGTCGTGCGCGCTCGTGTTTGGTCCCCCCGCGGTCCCCAAAAGCCGCGCACCAAAGGTCACTCTTACCCAGGGTCACTTTTGCGTGTAGTCGACCCTGGCTGTGGTGTTCGGGCCCTTCGGTGGTTGTTTTCGGGTCCTGGGGCTGTCAAAACACGACCCAGTAGCAGAAGCCATCCCTCCGGGTGGGGCCCAGAGCTTTGGGGCCCGCGTTGTGAAAGAGCATGGCGTCGGATATCTGGGGAGAGAGATTCTGAGAGATCCCCGCCGCGCACCTGGCGCGTGCCTCTCCTGAGAGGGGTCGGCTTTCCTGATAGGGAGCGATGAAGACGCTAATGCAGGAGGAGGTCGTGAAGGTCCCGAAGGGCATCAAGATTACTATCAAGTCCAAGGTCGTGGAGGTCACTGGCAAGCACGGTACCCTGAAGCGCAGTTTCAAGCATTTGCCCATCGAGCTGCGGCTGGCAAATAGCAACAAAGAGGTCCGGGCCAGGATGTATTTCGCCAAATCGAAGCAGTTGTCCATGCTCAACAGTTGTTGCAGCCACATCTCGAACCTCTTCACTGGTGTGGAGCAGCGCTTCCAGTACAAGCTGCGCCTTGTGTACGCGCACTTCCCGATCAACGTCACGATCACGAACGGCGGTGGCACCGTCGAGATTCGCAACTTCCTCGGGGAGAAGATCGTGCGCACCGTGAACATGCTGTCGGGCGTGAAGATCGAGAAGAGCACGGCGACCAAGGACGAGCTCATCGTCACTGGTGCAGACATCGACCTTACTTCGCGCTCGGCCGCCCTTATCCACCAGTCCTGCCTGGTAAAGAACAAGGATATCCGTAAGTTCCTCGACGGCATCTACGTCAGCAGCCATGGTGCCATTGAGGACTGAGGTCGGCAGGGGCCAGTGCAGCGGCGCGCGGTGACGAGGAATCTTTTTGGCGAAGGCCAGAAACAGAACCTGCGTGGGCCCCACACAGTGTGTTTCTGGCAATCTGTGTTATGCAGTCTATGTGGAGAAATCTATGTGGTCCAATCTATGCTGTCCAATCTATGTGGTTCAGTTTATGTGGTGCAGTGCAGTCTACGTGGTGCAATCTGAATGGTGCAACCTGTGTGGTGCAATCGATGGGGTGTGCACTAGATGCGGTGCAATCGACGTGTTGCAATCGATGTGGAACTATATATGTTGTGCAGCCTTTGTGGCACAATAGATGCAATCTATGTGGTGCAGTCTATGTGCTGCAATCTGCGTACGTGGTACAATACACATATATATATATATATATATATATGTATGAGGCACAATCTATGTTGTGCAGTCTATGTTGCGCAGTCCACTCTGCTGAACTTGAAGTTGTCAACTCCACTGCTCGCGCAATCATGCCACCCACCCACCCACCCGCAACTTGGTTTGCAAAACCCATGCGGGACCGAGCACAGATATCGCTCCGGGGTCGTCTTGGAGCCCTCGGGGTTGTCTCAGGAGCGCCCCAAGAAGGCCAGAGAAGCAAGACGGCCGACGACGACGACGACGACGACGACGGCGACGACGACGACGACGACGTCGACGACGACGAAGACGACGACGCCGACGCCGACGACGACGACGAAGACGACGACGACGTCGCCAACGAAGACGACGACGAGGGAGGAGACGACGACGACAACGACGACAACGACGACAACGACGACAACGAGGGAGGAGGGAGGACGGCGACGACGCGAACGACGAAGAAGGAGGAAGGACGGCGACGCCGACGACTGTCAACGACGAGGGAGGAGGGAAGACGACGACGAGACGACGACGACAACGACGACGACGACGGCGACGAAATAGGAGGGACGACGACGAGTCGCCGACGACGGACGACGACGACAACGACGACGAGGGAGGAGGAGGAAGGACGACCACGGCGACAACGACGACGGAAACGACCACGACGCCAAAGAGGACGACGACGACGAACACGAGGAAAGACACAGGACGACGTAGGCGACGACGACGACGACGCGGGATGAGGGAGGACGGCGACGACGACGACGACGACGACGACGCCGCAAGAGCGCGCGCGCACGCTTTTGTTGAAAATTCGTGTGGCGAAACCTTGTGTTTCTGTAGGTTTTTTGGACGCGCGATTTTGAAATCCTTCCGAAACCGATGGGTTTTGAAGGATTCCGGCGTACGCGCGCGACGACGCGCGCGTCTGCACTTCGTCCCATGTTTTTGCAGAGGATTCTCGCGACGGCACACGCGCAAGGGCGTTTGACAGATTTCGACATGCGCGCGCGACGCCCGTTTGGGTAGCATGTTGTGAAAATCTTGGAAAAACCAATTGTTTTTTTAGATTTCGTAAGAGCTCGCGCGTAAGCTTTTTTAGCAAATCAGTGTTACGAAACCCTGTGTTTTTGTATGTGTTTTGGAAACTCGAGTGCGAAATCCTTCCGGCACCGAAGGTTTTTGAAGGATTTCGGCATGCGCGCGCGACCACGCGCGCATATGCATTTCGTTCAATTTGTTGCAAGGGATTCGCGGACAAGTGTTATGTTAGAACAACAAATGTCACCGCATAGTGTTTTTTACAAGGGGACCTCTGGGGGGGGATACCGGTTGGCCTGGGACACTGTGATTCCATGTTTAGGATGGACATGTGGTCACAATCATATGCGGTTTACATACCCGAAAGGGGGGGCGATAACTCCGAGAGGGGGGGGGGTTAGAGTCTATTTTCTTTTTAGAAGGAGAACGTATGCTGTGCAGTCTGTGCAGTCTGTGCGGCGACGGGGCGGCGACGGAGACCCCACAGCAGCCAGACCGACGGGCAGCCCCTGACGACGGGCGACGCGGCGACGGGGCGGCGACGGCGACCACGCCACCGCCAGACCGCCAGACGGGCCCAGACGACGGGCGGCGACGAGGCATCGACGGGGTGGCTGCGGCGACCACGTCACCGCCGGACCGCCAGTCGGGCCCAGACGACCAGCGGCGACGAGGCATCGACGGGGTGGCTACGGCGACCACGGAGCCGTCGGACCGCCAGACAGGCCCAGACGACCAGCGGCGTCGAGGCAGCGAGGGGGCGGCTACGGCGACCACGGAGCCGCCAGACCGCCAGATGGGTCCAGTCCCTTGTGACAAACAAGTAGAAGCCCTAAGTGCAAACACTGTGTGGGGAACGTTGGCCAGCGGCTTCCCTCAGCGGCGAGCGAGGGGGGAAAGTGCGAAGAGGGCCTTCTCAGAAGGCGGCGGGACTTCTCAGAAGCCCTGCGGCCTCCTGAGAGGTTTTCTGTGTCTTCGGGGACTGCTGAGAACTCTTCTCAGAAGGCCGGAGGACTTCCGAACCTTCTGAGGAGGCCTTCTCGTTCTCATGTCCTTTCTCGCCGCCGAAAGTCCCCGACGAGACCGAATCTTTCAAGCACAATCATAGCTTCTCCCCCTTGGAGCCCGAGATGTCGCCTCGGGGGGCTCGCCAGGGGCATCCTGGAGCCATCTGCAAGCCCCAGAGATAAATCCGAAGTGAAAAGGTGGGAGTTCCAAATTCTGGGGGAGGAAGGGTTGGAAGGGTTTGGGCATGGAAGGGAATTCTGGCTTCTTATAATTCCACTTTCTCGCTTTAAAGACATTGGGGTTGGGAGGGTGTTGGCATGTTACGGCCATGTTTGAGAGGGATCGTTACCACTCGGAGCCGTTTCGGAGGGGTCGTCTGGGGCCTCTTGGAGGAGGTACCATGGAGACCTTTCCTCGAGCCATTCCTGCGCGGTCTCGTGCCACCTCGGAGGCCATCTTGGACGTTCTTTGGACATCCTGGAGCCGTCATTCGAAGAAGAACAACAATATAAGCAGACCCGTTGGCGCTCCCCGCGGGTTTCTTGGATCTGCGCTGGGCCCCCCTGACCGCGCCTCCGGCGCTGCCCCTGGCGCGCTCCGCGCGCCAGGGAGGGGGGTCCAGCGCAGATCCAAGAAATCCGCGCGGAGCGCCAATAGTTTATGCTTGTAGCTTTTTCCCCAACCATGCTGTGGTGTTGGGTCTTCGTTTTGAAGAAACGGTCCTCGTTTTCTTCCTTCCTTCCTCCTCCCCCTTCTCCTCCCTCCTCCATCATCATCGTCATTACCCGTTTCAGCACACCCTCACACGCGTCGTGGCCCCATAGGGAGCTCCACCAAAGGCCACAGTGCCACCGCCCGCATGCGTCACCCGCACTCATTTCGGCACACTCCTCACACGCTTCGTGGCGCCATAGGGAGCTCCACCGAAGGCCCCAACGCCACCGCCCGCATGCGGCACCCACACCTATTTCGGCACACCCCTAACACGCTTCGTGGCCCCATAGGGACCTCCCCCGACGGCCCAGTGCCACCGCCCGCATGCGTCACCCACACCGATTTTGGCACACTCCTCACACGTTTCGGTGCCCCATAGGGAGCTCCAACGAAGGCCCCAGTGCCACCGCCCGCATGCGTCACCCACACTAATTTCTGCACACCCCTCACACATTTCGTGGCCCCATATGGAGCTCCAACGAAGGCCCCAGTGCCACCGCCCGCACGCGTCACCCACGCCCATTCCGGCACACCCCTCACGCGCTCCGCTGTCTGCTAGGGAAGTCCACGGAAGGCGTCAGTGGCTGCTTTCACATGCGCCCACCGCACCCGTTTCCGTATTCCCATCACACGTTTCACAGCCCCGCAGGAGCTCCACTGACGGCCCCAGTAGCTGCGTTCGCATGCGCCCACCGCACCTATTTCGGTACACCTCTCACGCGCTTCGTGGCCACATAGGGAATTCCACCGACGGTCCCAGTGGCTGCTTTCGCATGCGCCCACCGGACAAATTTTGGCACACCCCTCACACGTTTCGTGGCCCTAAAGGGAGCTCCTCCGAATGCGGTGCATACAACGACGGTGTTCATAACTGCATATGGTTGTGTCCTTCGCCAGGCTCAGTTCTACTTCGAGTCATGGGCCCCAAAGCTTCCCAGGCATGCCCAGATGAGCCAGAAGCCTTCCCTCGCGGTCGATGTGCTTCCATGCGCGTGTGAATCCAAGAAGGAGCGGTGCGAATTTAGCGGCGCTCCTCTAGAGTCTCCTCTCGGGGCCCTCCTGGGGCGCTCCTTAATTCTCCTGTGACCAGCTGGCCATCTTGGGAAGGTCTTCGACCTGTCATGGGGCTCCTCTTAAGCCATCTTGAAGTCGTTTTGAGGCTTCCAGGGCAAATCGGAAGCCAAAAGGTGAGAACGCCGACGTCGCCATTTGCTGTTCTCATGGCCCGTGGAGGTGCTTGAGCCATAACATGAGCGACAAGGCGAGAAGGCAAGAACATCTACGATCTGGGCGGACTTTCGCCTCTCGGGGGCGTCCTTGGGGCGCTCCACTTGACCTGGAGGGCTTCGTGGCCACTTGAGGCCGCCTCGGCGCGGTGGACATGGTGGGATCTATCTTGAGCGACCTTCCACTATCCGGTTCAATATGGGAGACCATTTTGGGGTATACTAGGCCATGTTGGAGCCATTTTAGTTCATCTGGGGCGAACCAACGCCTCCCCCCCCCTCCAGATTTAGGAGGGAAGGGTAGGGCGGGGGGCGATCCCCTTCCCGAAACAGAACAAGGTGGGGTGGAAAGAGGAAATGCTCTAGACCACCTGCGCCCAGAGTGCTGGTTGGATTAGTCCTTGGCCTTGGTATGTCCTGGACGCAAATCCAGATTCATCCTGGCTAATCTGGATTGATCCGGATCGTCGTATGGCACATTCTGGTTCAATAGTCCTGACAGTCACAACTTTGCATGATAAGACGCACGGTCGGCACGGCGAGGCACGGCGAATCTTCCACACCCTGAAAACCAGGCAAGGCACGGCCCGTCACGCCATATTTTTTTGTTTTTTTGCGTTTTTGGGCATGTGCGCGCATCCCCGATACCGAGCACGGCACGGCACGCGGGTACGGCACAGCAGATTTTGGGCATCTTCGAAACCACGCACGACATGGCATGCGCGTACGGCACGGCACGGCACGGCACATGTTCTGCACTCTCGAAGCCAGGCGCGGCGACACCTCACGCGAGCACGGACCAGCGCGGCAAAGTGCATCGCACGTTCGAAAACAAGCACGGCACGGCTTGCGTGCACGGCACGGCATTGCAACATGTGCGCTCTTGAAACCAAGCAGGAGGGGAGCCTTACCGGAGAGATCCCCGCAAGGAGCGTGTTGGGCGCGAGGTCAGGGGGGGGTCAATGGGAAAGGGGGGGAGGAAAGGCGCCCTCTTCGGGCCTTACAACGCCCCCCTCTGGGGCCCTAAAGGGCCCCTTCAGGGACCCCTAAAGGGCCCCTTTTCGGCAACCCTCGCTGCCCCCCTCCTTGTATCGCCCCCCATTAAGTCGCGCCCGAAGCCTGGCCTCCCAGGCCTTCCCGGGGTGGACCCAGCGTCGACGCAGTCGCCCTCTCGGCCCTACAACCCTCTACCAAAAGACCCGGGCCCGCGGGCCCCCCATAAGATCCTCTTCGGGAGGGCACCGGCCTGCCCACCGACCTGCAGGCGAGCATCTGATTCAGAGACCTCCTCCCGGAAAACTGGGCCGGCGCTTCTTGGCAAACTTGCTTGTTGGCCCAGTTTCTTGTGCACGTTCGCCCCTCCAGCGTCGACAACAGATATCCGAGCGCGTTCCACTACTCGCACAGTGCCTTCTCGCAAACGTCAGAAAGAAAACCACTTTCGCCTCGATGTAGTATATCGTAATTCCCCCACGGCGGATCCAGACCATTTGAGAGTAGTGGCTTTGCGAGTAGTGGAACGCGCTTGCCTATGGATGCCCAGGCTTCTTAAATAGTGGTTATCTTGATCACATGTTCGGCTGTATCTCGTCATCCTCTCCGCCGCTGCCCTGCGTCTGCACCCCTCCGCCCCCATTCAGTGTCCCTCCCTTTCCCTTAGTTTCCTTCTCCTCCTCTTCCTCCTCCTCCTTCCCTGTCATCTTCCTCTTCCCTCCCTTTCCCGTCCTCCTCCTCCGCCCTTCTGGTCCTCTTCGTCTCCCCCCCTGTTCTCCTCCTTCTCCTTTCCTGTCCTCTTCCTGTCCCCTCCCTTTTCCGTCCTCCTCCTCCTTCTTGGTCCTCTTCGCCTTCCTCCCCTTCCCTCCTCCGCCTCCTCCTCCTCCTCCTCCTCCTCTTTCTCCTCTTCTTCATCATCAGCGTCATCATCATCATCATCGTCATCATCATCATCACCATCATCATCATCATCATCATCATCATCATCATCATCATCATCATCATCAGCGTCATCAGCGTCATCATCTCATCATCATCATCATCATCATCATCATCAGCATCATCATCATCATCATCATCATCATCATCATCATCATCATCATCATCATCATCATCATAATCATCATTATCATCATCATCCCTCGTCATCAAATTTTCCTCCCGCTGCCCCTCTGGTCCCCCTACCGCCGTCCTCCCCTTATCGTCGTGGTCGACATTGTATTCGCCACCCACGTCGTCGTCGTCCCCGTCGCCGTCGGCGTCGTTCTTGTCGTCGTCGTCGTCGTCGTTTTTCCTTGTCGTCTCCACCGTTGTCGTCGTCGTCGTTGTCGTCGTCGTCCGCCTCGCCGTCACCACCGCCCGCCGTATCGCCTCCGCCGTCTCCAGCGCCGCCGCCACCGCCGGTGCCGCCTTATCGCCACCGCACTTTCCAACGCTGTCGCCACCGACGTTGCTGCCGTCGTTCTTCTCCATCGCCGCTGCCGCCGCCGCCGTCGTCGCCGCCGCCGTTTCCATAGCCGAAGCCGCCGTTGCCGCTTGCGCCGTCGCCAGTATGTCCCCGGAGGCCCCCGCAAGCCCACAGAGGCTCTGGAACGGCCGCAGCGCCCGCTGCATCCTGAGGACCCGTCACCTCTCAGAGGTCACCGATTCATATTCATCCGGATCTGATCCTCGTTTTGCCCTCGTCCTGGTCATCATCGGAGGGCGGCCTCGCCGTCGCCCTGGTCGTCGCCGCCCGCCGTTTCCGCCGGTCCACGGCAGGCCCTCTTCATCGAGGGCTGGGCCCGCATGGCGGGCCAGCGCGCGGTGACGCCGGCCATGGGTGCGCTCCCGTCCCCGCCGTCATTTTTGTCGGTGCAGCCGCAGCCCGTTTTCGTCGTCTCCGCCGCAGTCGTCGTCTTCGCCGTCGTCGTGGTCGTCGCCGTCTGCGCTGCCGACATCGCCTTCTTCGTCGTCGTCGTCATCGTAGCCCGCCATCATTTTTGCCGTCGGAATCGCCGTAGTCGCCGCCGCCGTCGGCGTCGTCGTGATCGTCGTCTGTATGATTCACCCGCCCGTGGTCCTCTCGTGCCCACGGCTGGTGTCCCCTCCAGCATCTTGCCAAAGCGCACCCCGGGAGAGGTCTGGGCATCGGTCATGTCGTCATAGTTGTCGTATTCGTCGCAGCCTGACCGGAGCCCGCTCAGCCCCCGGTCGGAGCCTAATCAACCCAGGGTGTGCGTTGGTGTTCTTCAGAGGTCTTCGTAGATAGTCGGCGGCTCTCGGGGAACGGGATTCCTTCCATCAGCCCAGGCTCCTTGAGGGTTTGAGGACCGTGCGCCAATGCCCCGACTGGCCTTCGTTGTGCCACGTTGTGGCCGAGCCCGAGCGCCTCATAGGGAACGTCGCTGTTGTAGATTGAAGTTTCTGGATGAGTGTGGGCACCAGACTATCATCATGGCCCCGCTTCTCGAGACCCCTGGAGACCCGCAGAGGCCTCTGGAGACTCCAGACTGCGTAGGCCTCCTCCCAACGCGCGAAGAGGCGATGCACCCTGCAGTGAAGATGTTCTGGCCACGGCCCTCCTCCTGGAGACGAGAGGCGGAATTCCTGAGGTGCTGCATGCAGAGGGCTGGGTAGGCAAGGTGAGCAGGTGTCTTTCTGGACATGTGCGGCGTGCCAAAAGAGGGCCTTTGCCTTCGAGGCTCGAAGGAGTTGCCAGCTCTTCCGCGGCGGAAGCCGGCGGGAGGTCGGCGGCAGGCGGCGGAAGGCGAACGAGGCCGCCTCCGCCGGCGGAAGCCGGCGGAAGCTCGGCGGGAAAGGGGGCGGAATCTGAAGGCGGTGCCCCCGGGAGCTGAGCGCCCGAGATCGCCCACGTGCAGGCCGCCGTGGGGAGCCTCTCGCCGCGCGGGCAGCGTGCGGACAGCGCAGCGCAGAGCCCGGCGGCCCAGCCCGTCTGCCGACCCGGAGGAGGGAGCGGCTCGGGGAAGGCAGGCGGGAAGGGGTGCCGCAGTCAGAGCGCGCAGCAGGGACGAGCAGCGTTCCGAGGTGCCCCCGTGCATCCCAGACCCCCTCGCGACGCGAGGAACTCATGACGGGAGGCGTTTCGCTACTTTCGGCCTCGAGGGGCCCTCGCCGGGCCTCGGGACTGCGAAGAATACAGTCAGGATGAAAATCTGGGGCCCGGGAAGGGGTCCAGGCTCTTGGGGGTTACGCAACGACAAAAAAAACACGACGTCGGGAGTCTGGGATCTTTGCCCCCTGGGCCCATGATTGCATCCCTCGGCACACCCTTGCCCCTTCGGCTCGATCCTGGCCCCGTCCGAGGGATGTCAACATGGCCCTCCAAGGCCCGTGCATCCTTACGGGGCATCCTTATTAGGCGTCTTGACTGTACGTGGGCAGGGAGCACTGGCGGCTTCAGTGCGAGGGCGAAAGGCCCGTGGTCATCGGACCATCCCGCCACTGCCCGCGAGTCGTGCTCCAGGGGCGCGTGGGGGCGGAAGGGCTCCTGGTGGCCGTTGTAGTCGCCTTGTGTGCGCCGTTGGGCCTCTCGTCTCTTGTGGGCCTCTTAGAGGCACTCGAGATCCTGATGAAGGGGTTGGCTTTCAGATGTGCCACGGCGCGTGCCTGTGAGGCCCTCTTTTCGGGCCGTCTCGGGCACCTCTCGGGTGCCTCTTCGGGGCCTCCGTGGGCTCTTGAGGCTTCTTGGGCCGTCTTGGACGCGCCTGCGACCGGTGCGGCGAGATTGCTAACATCACCCACCCAAACAAATGAAGGTGCTCAACAGATTGTCGCCTCTGGGGCCGGCCCGCGGGACCTTCAAAACTGTCGCCATACCCTTCAATCTAACAAGCGGCCGTCCCCACGCCACCTTGCAATGGTTAAACTACGATCGGGCATCCTTGTGTGCAGCCCCTGCAGGAGTCACTTTGCGCTGTTTCCAGCGATGTTGCCCCATGGCGGCCCAGTTTCTGGCGGGCACGCGTGCTGGTGGCTTCTTGTGCACGCTGACGGTGCCTCGCCTAAACTTGACGGTTTGTGGCCAAGACAAATGTCGATTCGATCGAGCCGAGTCGATTTCAATGTCCTGGCAATTCGTTATGCCCCGATAGTAATTGCACAGCTTAGCTGCGCGTCTGGGCGCAGCCGATCCGACTCGATGTCGACTCCGTGCCGATGCGACCCGAGCCGACGCACATCTAACAAATCCTGCCGCGATTCTCTATGGAAGCAGCGTGCTTGCGGCCGCGGCCTGCAAGTAGCTTAGTTCATGGATGCGGCTTGGGGGGGACCAGGCAGGGCAGGGTTGTTCTCGCCTCGTGGATGCGGCGGCGACCCCACAGCGGGCGTTCCATGTTGGACGCGGTCAGGGGCCCTGAATCGGCCGACAGCAAGCGACCCGCGCTGTCGCAGAGTTGCGATCGTTCCAGGTGGAACGCGCGATCGCCAGGTTCGTCGCGGGAGTGGGGTGAGCGCACGTTGAGGTGAGTCAGCGGCGTAAGAGCTGGCGGCAGTGACGATATAGGAAGGCATCTCCACACTCAAAATCAGTGCTGTCTCTGGGTGCAGCCGGCACTGTCGGCTGCAAGTTGCGCCGTTCTAGGCGGCTGTCTGGCCGGAGTGCTTAGGGCCCGGCGCTGTCCATGATGTATAATGATTGCCACATGCCTGCGTGACGATCTAGCGGCGCCCTTTCAGTTTTGAGTTCTCGGCACGCTGTTGCCACCCTTCAAGGCCTGGGACCACACCCGGCTATCCCTCCGCTTCTGCGAAGTCTGCCGTGCCCCACTGTGCTTCGCCCCCTCGCTCGTGAGACCTCCCTGCCACGAGGGGAGCGACCTGCAGGCCTGCCAGAGTCGCTCTTTGTTCTGCTGTGCACGCGCAGGGGTCATGTGACACTTGCGTTGAGAAGTGGCACGCGCCTCATCCTCAGTAGCCGCACCGTTGTCTGACCCCTGCTCCCCCCTGGCCTTATAGTCGGTCCTGGAAACGGCAGGGCCGTCTTTTTTTCTTACCGTTTCCGAAAAAGCGTCTTGAACATGGAAACGGCAAAGAAATGGCGACCTGAAACCGCAACAAAAACGGCTCCAGGGGATTGGATCCCGAGACGGGACCGTGTAAACAATGGCGACGGCACCGGCAAACCACGGCGTCGGCACTGGCAGAAGCACGGCAGAACGGAACCGGGAAAAAAAACGGCCTTGTCGTTTCCAGGGCCCACCGAGCCCCCGGTGGCATTTCAAGGAGCCGCTGCTGTCTTGGCTCGGAGTCTCGCGGCGCCGCTCTGTCTCGCCCCGCCGCGGCCTGCCGGGGCTCCTCTGCTCAGCCCCCCCCCCCCCGGGTGCGAGGAGCAGCTCCCGGGGGAGAGGCGGGCGGGGTCGCCACGGCAGAGCCGCCAGACACCACAGAGCCGCTGTTGGGGACACCCCGGCGGCGGCAGGAGTGGACGCCTCCATTCTCGGGGGCGGCAGAGAGGGGGGTGATGACCAGGGGGGAGTGATGTCGAGACGGGGGCCATGACATCTCCCCAGCTTTCATGGCGCCTCTTCTTGTTTCAATACGTCCCCGGACCCCCCCCCCTGGGCCGCGCACGTGCCGCCGGCCATGATTTGCGCCCCCCCCCCCCTCTTGGACGCCCCCTCTTGGCTGCCCCCGATCCATCTCCGCCGCAGTCGCCGCCCCGCAGCGACGCGAATCTCTTCGTGAAGCCGCTGCCTCCAGACCACGCCCGAGGCCGCGTCATGAGCCTCCTCCGCCCCGAGGTGATGTGCCGCGGCACCTTGGTGGTCCAGGCGGACCGCGCCCGAGTAGTCGTCGATGCTATCGGCGGCCGATCCTGCGTTCAGTTTGAGGACATGAACGCGCTCGAGCTGCAGCGTCCCTACAGGAAACACATGCAGCGGCTCGACGAGCTGGAACGCGTCATCCGGTCTCTGCGCGAGGATTCGGGCCGGCTGGAGGCTTGAAGGTTGAGGTGACCCACCAGTGGTTTTGGCCAGCAGAAGGCGGGGAGAAGAGGGCGCCTTCGTTGTCACGGTTTGGCGCGGCTCGAAAACTTGATCAGATTCGACCTCAGAGAGGAGGGGCTTGCGGACCGTTTGTGAGCGAGTTTGCTTTCATCCCCGCCCCTTGACCGGCTTCCTCTGGGCTTCTCCAGCTCTGGCCCTCCAGCCGCTCCCTACGCGAGGATACCCTCTGGCTGCCGGACATGGACCCCGCGGACATGGTGACTGGCAACGTGGACGGCTTTCTGTCCCATGCAGAGGACTATTCACTGAACGAGGTTGAGGCAGAGGCGGCCGTGCTGCGGAAGGACTTCACTCGGCTGCGGGAGAGCGCCGACGCGCTCCTGAAAGCGCGCTCTGCTGCCATAGAGGCCCAGTGCGTTGCGCAGTTGGCCCAGACGTTTGCGAAGGCTGGCAGGCGGCCATCGCTCCAGGAAGGCAGACCGTCGCTGACGAGGACGGGGTCTCAGGAAGGATCTTTTTCTAGGCAAGGATCAGGATCGTTCTCGAGGCAGGTGTCCGAGGAGGGCGAAGACCTCTCCAAAGTGCTGTCCACGATCGCAGGCCTGATCCAGCAACAAGAGCAGAATCGCTTCGAGCGCGCGATCTTCCGCGCTACGTACGGCAACGTCTTCATTCATTCGGAGCCTCTGGGGGACGTGTTCAGCGACCTGCGGACGGAGAGACGCGCGTTCAAGAGCTCCTTCGTGATAATATTTCAGAACAGGAGGCAGGGCCGACAGGAGAGTGCCGTCGCGGAGAAGGTGAGGAAGGTGTGTTCGGCATTCGGAGCCTGTACCTACCCTTGGTACTCTTCGCTCGGGGAAGCATCGGCGGCATGCGCGAGACTGGCCTTACAGGTGGACGAGCAGACGGCTCTGCTGAAGAACCTCCAGGGCTTCATTCGGCAGGAAGCTCGTAGACTGTGTATGGTGCCATACGTTGGGGGCAACTCGCTGATCGAAGAGTGGCGACTCTTCTGCGTCAAGGAGAAGGCGGTCTACACCGCCCTCAACGGCTTCGAAGCAGGCGGAGTCAACCTGCGCGCCGACTGCTGGTACCCTGCGAACGAGGAAGAGAACATCAAGGCCCTCCTGTCCGAGCTCAGTATGGGCAACCCAGGCAGCTTCCAGGGCAGCGTGATGATACCAGACAGGAATCAGTCACACTCTGGAGCTCCGACGTACATCTCGAAGAAGAAAAACACATAAACATACATGTTCGAATGTCCGCGTGGATTTCTTGGATCTGCGCTGGGACCCCCTCCCTGGCGCGCTCGTCGTGCCAGGCGCGTTGCCGCAGGCGACGCCAGTGGGCCCAGAGCCGATACAAGAAATTCGCGCGAACCTCCGAATGTTTATGTTGGTGCCGCTTTTTGTTCCTCGTACGTCCGCACGAACGCCCTCACGGAGGCCTCCCAGCTCATGGTGGACACGTACGGGGTGCCGCGGTACCGAGAGGCCAACCCCGCGTTGTTCACGGTGGTGACCTTCCCTTTCCTTTTCGGGGTGATGTTCGGTGACGTGGGCCACGGCTTGCTGCTGCTCGGCCTCGGCGTACTCCTCTCGAGGGGACCAACAGTGGCACAAGTTTAAACCCTCGGTGCTCCGCGCACAGTTTTCGGATCTGCGCTGGGCCCCCCCTGGCGGCGCCCCTGGCATCGCGCCTGGCGCGCCCCTCGCGCCAGGGAGGGGAACTCAGTGCCGATCGAAGAAAACCGCGCGGACCTCCGGGAGCTTATGTTTACATAGCTTTTGCCCCTCGATATTCACTGCGCAGGGAGACAATCTCCGCAGCATTGCCCCTGGGCTCTTCTCGGCCAGATACCTGGTGATCATGATGGGCTTCTTCGCGACGTACTGCGGCCTGTTGTACAACGACTTCTTCTCTCTAGGCATTCCGCTCTTCGCCAGCCGGTGGCAGGTACCAGCGGGCGTACAAGGCCAGGTAACGTGCGCGCCGAATTTCGATACGAGGAACGAGGGGGGCCCTGGCCCCTACCCGTTTGGCGTCGACTGGGCCTGGAACGGAGCGCGGAACCAGCTCACTTTCATGAACTCACTGAAGATGAAGCTCTCCGTGGTCATTGGCGTTGTACACATGCTTGCCGGGCTGGCGCTCAGGTGCTTCAACGCCCTATGCGAGGGCAGTCTGGTGGATCTTCTGTTCGAGTGTGTTCCCATGGCCCTGTTCATGCTAAGCTTTTTCGGCTTCATGGACGCGATGATCTTGTACAAGTGGGTCACTCCCCTCGATTCCTCGCCGAGCATCATAAACTCGATGATCTGCATGGCCATGCCTGGCACAGTGGACCCCGCGCCGATGTTTGGAGCCGAGCTTCCGGGCAGGCTGGCAGTCCTCTTCGGGGGGCAGGCAGCGACGCAATCATAGACCTGCGGGGGTCCGCGCGGGTCCCTCGGGACGTCGCTGGACCGCCTTCCCTGCACCCCCTTCCAGGCGCGCGGGCCGCGGCGGGGGCCGTCGCCAGAGGCGCCACGAGGAGTGGGGGCGAGGAGGCTGCGGCGCCGATCCGGGAGATCCGCGCGGACCTCTGACACACTGTTTTTTGTCCACTGCTTCTGGTCTCCCATCCCCCTTCCGTTTCGTCGTCCTTCTTCGCCCCAGGCATCCGACGTCCTGCCGTTTTGAAATGTTTGGGCCCTCGTGAAGGCCATGTGGGCCGTATTCGGGCGATGCTGGGGGTGTCTTGGGTTGTCCTTATACACGGGAAATCGGATAGACGAATTTGTCAAACATGTCGGAAATCATAGGCGGCATCAACTATTCGACGTGGGGGTCCACATTTTATGTGCATCGGTTTGCCCCCACCTTTCCCGTTGCGAGCGCTTGCTTTCGAGGAGGTCTAAGCATGAACGGGGCTGAGTATGATAGTCTAGGACCAGGTGTGTCTGAGTGTGAGTGAGTTCGACGGTGTGTGTGTGTGTGTGTGTGAGTGAGTGAGTCTGTGCACGCGAGTGTGAGTGAATGAGAGTAGTCAAGTGTTGGTGTGAGCGTGAGAGGTATGAGTGCATTTGGGTGTGAGTGGACTGAGTGTGAGTGTGAGTGGGACAGGTTCCAGGGCATCTGAGTGTGAGTGCTCTCGCCCCTGGCGGCTCCGCCTTGGGATTTCTGGAACCAGCGCCTCGCTTGAGACATCCTCACATTCTGCTCTGGAAGCAGACGATGCCGGGCACTCACGCAGGCAAACCGCTCGAGACATCTCCACAATCTGGGCGCGCATCCCATATGTCCCCACCCTTGGCGGCTCCCTCCTGGGAGTTTTGGAACGAGCACCTCGCTTGAGACATCCTCCCAATCTTCTCTGGAGGCAAAGGAAGTGTGGCGCCCAAACAGGCAAACCGCCCGACACATCCCCACAATCTGGGCGCGAATCTTGAAGTGCTCCCACCCCTGGAGGCTCCCCGCTGGGAGTGCTGAAACCAGCGCCTCGCTTGAGACATCCTCCAACTCTGCTCTGGAAGCAGAGGAAAACTGGCACGGCAAGCCGCCGAAGACATGGTCTCAATCTGGGCGCGAATCCTGGCGTGCCCCCACCCTTGACCGCGCATCCCTTGCGAGTATTGAAAAAAGCTGAGCGGATGATCAGCTGCCCAGCCTGACCTGGTTCTGAGGGGCCTTGCGCTTCGAGCAGGCGGCGACACCCAAGTGGTGACCCCCCTTGGCTCTGACTGGCCGCTGGGTGGGGGGGTGCGAAGCGGCGCCTCCAGCCGTTCCCACGAACGTACCTTTACGTCGGGCGTGTCCCTCTACAAGACGAATATTCAAAAATATGTTGATAAATAGTCGGGGAACGTTTTTTTTGACTAGTTTCAGCATGTTTGACTTTGTGGGGGTATGTTTGATTGTTCGTCCAAAACCCGCCTGTAGGGGGACATGCCCGACGTAAACGTACCTCCCAGAAGGTGCACTCCAGGCAGGGAAAAAACACAGCGGAGCTGCCACAAGCAGGCCGCGCGCAAGGCGGCGGCTGCCCCTGAGATCCGGCGCTGCAAAAGCATGCAGCATCGCGAGAGCCTGCGACAAGAGCCCCAGACCCGGTCTTCTTGCTCCTGCACCTCCCGAGCCGGGTCGGTCTGTGCTGGCCCCAGGGCCCGAAAGCTTGGCGAACACGCCCGGCGTGAAAAAGTGGCAACGCCCGGATCTCAGGGACGACGGGCGGGGCACAGGCTGTGCCGCGCCCCCGCCCGCCACCCCTGGCAGGCTGATGCTCTACTCCCTGGGCGCGGTCCCGTGGCTTCTGCTCCCGAAGCCGCTGCTGCTCTGGCTCAGGCCCGCGGAGAGGCACATCTGTAATTGCCACCACCGCCTGGCCAGCGCATGCCCACTCTGGGTCCGGCACAGGATCACGCACATGTGCAACATACGTGTGTATATATATATATATATAGATATAGATATATGTACACATACATACCTGAATGCATGCATGCATGAATATGTACATGTAGATGCGTACATCGTCAGAAGTATCTGTGTACATAAATCTATGTACAGACATGTGCGCCAGCCGAAATGTCGGCCGACTTGAATCTAAATAAGAGTGCCGTAGTCGGCGTTGTGGGGGAACGCGCCGATGTTTGCCACAGCTGGTGCTCAGGAGGGGCCCAACACCCTCGTGTTCCCCTTGCGCGCCTTTGCGAACAACCCATTCGTCGATCATGTGTACCAGTGCATGTATTTATATTTTTGTATATCTACACGTATATATTTATGTAGATTTTCATACATATGTTCATTAGATACATTATACATACATATACACGTATACTCAGACATCTGTATGCGTGCATCTGTAGACCGTCCTGTGCCACGCTGTGCCACGCCTGGAGGCTGCATGCACCAATCCTCGGCCCGCTTTTGGACGAACAAGGTAACGCAAACATCAGTCTGCTAGCTGGCGCTGGAGGCGCCGCAAGCAGGGCCAGCGCCGCCCCAAGAAA